TCCGCAGCGTATTATGACGAGGTCTGTTTATGGATTGAAGAAGAACAAACCTGATTCCTACCTGACTTGGAAATAAGGGGCTACAAGTGAAGCGAAGAAGGCGAAGAAAGCGAAGAACCCTATTTTGAAAGAACACCTGTTTCATCCTGCTGTCACATACAGCATGAATTGAGAACATATTCCTGGCACAAACTCTGTATTCAAGAGACCCAGTGTGCTGTGATCACACTATATAGCTAAAGCTCAGATCTTCCCTATGGAGTTTTCTTTGCATCAGGTTTATTCTTTTTTTCCAGGGGTGCCTTCACAGGGGTCCATGGAGGTGAGCAGCACCCGGACTGTGAGGTCATAGCTCTTTGAAGCTGCCGCCAGTCCTGTAGGTCCGGGGCTTGAGCTCTCTGCCACACCTTGGAAAGGCCTGAGCATCCGCAGGTCCTTCTCTGAGTAATCTCTCTTAAAGCACCCCAGGAAAACACACTCCTCACAGTCCTGCAATTCAGATCCTGCTCCAGAAACAGGCTGCAATCCCACTGACCAGAAGTGCTTATTTTAACCTCCCAAAGTATCAGAGCATGTCTGCCTTACTGAGGTCAAAGCCCTGAGCTGCCTAGGGTCAGCCTTGTCTGTTGAGTTGACAGGGGCACATGTATGGTTCCAAAATTAACACCTGTTTTCAGACACGAGCTTTGATTTTGTTATGTTTCTCTCTCTATGTATAAAACGTTTATTAATGTTAAGGGCATTAACAGGGGGTTTTTATTTTGATAAAAAAAGGTTATATAAACAAATATGTCTCTTGCAAAAGCGATTCTTTTGGCCATATAATGCATTTGTAGAAGCATTTGGCTTCTTTACACACTGAACTGCATGTCACTGCTGTAGGGCATTAGAAATAATAATAATAATAATAATAATAATAATAATAATTATTATTATTATTATTATTATTATTATTATTATATTAATACAAATAAAAATAAACAGTGATTTCTCATTCTATTCCTGTGTGTAGATGACTGTTCTTTTAAAGCACAGTTGCTCCCAGTACAGCTCGTGTAGTGATTATGAGCCTGCATTATTCTGTGGGTTATTGCTTGGGAGCACATCAAACGGACTTCAGAGGGCTGGAGGAAATAACAGCAGGTCTGCAGCAAATTTTATCTGGGCTAATTAAATTTTCAATAAAAAAAATTATGAAGATATTTCCTGCTATCCTTCTTAATAGAGTGTTCAGAAATTTCCATTTGAGAAGTTGTTTTAATTTCATATCAGATGTTAATAGATCTTGCTGGGTGGGGTCTGCATTAATGTGTGTTCCTGCAATTCTGTCTTCCCTGCTTTTTCATTAGTTCTTAAATAAAAATAATTTCTAAATGAAAATTAATAAAAAATACTTAATACCTCTAGGATCCATTGCATGTGTTTAAACTACATGCACATTTTTTGGATCCCTAAAATGTTAATTACCAACACGACGTTTCTTAGAAAATTAGCAATAAATTATTTTAAATCCCCACCCCTGCCCCAGGCTTGCTACCATCTGGCCATGTTTCTCCCATTATCTGAATAACTATTGCAAGATAATTCAGTTTTCTTTTGGGGATTTTATTCTTAGCAGCGAAGCTTGCCAACATGGGTTATGGAGGTGTGCTGGTCTGCCTTACAAGATGTCATATCTCTCTGCGTTTCCTGAAGATGTTGTTTTAAGCTCCGTTGTGTTATGTCATAGTGGAACATTCCTGTAAATGTATCATGTTGTTCTTCTCTGCACATATTCCATATGTTTTTTTGTATTGTGGTGATCCTGACTATACACAAGATTCACAGCAATGTCCATTTTTTACACAGCATTTCTTACACACAGATTTCACTCAATTCAAGCCAGGAGCTCTTGCGTTGCTCTGACAAATCGCATGATCCACTGACTAACAGTGTTTTCACAGCTGTGATCATTAATACATTTAATTCCATTTCCATGTGGAAGAATAGTAGTCCAGGGATGTGGCAGAGTGGCAGAAAGAATGTGGAAAACCACCCAGGAAGTATTTCAGTCAACAGCGAGAAAAGAGCCCGTCCCCTGTCTAGGACACAGGAGGCACATTCCAGTTACTCTGTGTGAATCAGGAGTATCCAAAGCTTCCTGCTCCCTTAGTAAATGACATCAGACTGCAAGAACATAAGAAGGGTGGTAAATGAGAGGAGGCCATTCGCCCCATCTAGTTCATGTGGCTGCTAGTTGCTCATTGACCTTAGGATCTCATCTAGCCATTTGTTGAAAGGAACCAAGGTATCATCTGCAACATCTGTTCCACACTCCCACCACCCTCAGGGTAAAGAAGTACCTTCCGCTCTCAGGTTTGAATGCATGTCTGTGTGGTTTCATTTATGTCCTCTGCTATGTGAAACATGGTTTGTATTTTACAACTAACTGCTCCCTAAACCTGTCAACAGTTTTGACGGTGCCCAAGATACATCCTAATCTAGTCATTATTGTAACTGTGGGAATGCAAGAAGTAACAGTGGGGTTAAGTGCAGTTTTGAAATACGTTTATTATGGAGTTATTATGGTTCCTAGAGAGGTGAGGAGAGAGAGACACCAGCGAATCTTGCATTTTATAAGCCAGGCACAGCCCAGGTCAACATCTTGTGCTACCATAAATGTCATATTCAGGACAAGGAGACACAGAATGTAGAAGAGCATAAGTCGTCTAGAAATATTTTAAACACCAGCAGAGAATGTAAATTATGATGTTCAGTTTTTCAAGACACTTTCTACTCAGCTAAATAGCACAGGTGGGGTATTGTCAAGTCCCCACACAAGGGACAAATTAAAATCAGACAACACAGACCATCCATTCATTCATTTTCTCACTACTGTGTCCAATTCATGGTCACAAGAGAGCTGAAGCCTATCCCAGCAAGCAATGGGTGCAAAGCAGGATACACCCTGGACAGGACGCCAGTCCATCTCACACACACACACACACACACACACACACACACACACACACACACACACACACACAGGCGCAGAGAGGCATTGTGGGAACTTTTTTTCAGGTTAATTATCCAGGCCAGCGTGTCTCCAGATCGTGTCTGGGGTTATCAAAAAGAAAAGAAACCTGAAAAGTATTCTTCTCAGCGTCTGCCTGGTTTAAAAAAAATAATTAATCCTGCCTCCAGCAGTGATTCTGACAAGTTGTAATAAAATAATGGCATGTACACTTTAATAATTATTGTAGCTTAGTGGCTGTATAATCCATTATATGAGCTCTGAATCATCCAGTCACTTTTTATTGTAAAGCACCATGGGAGGCCTTGCTCGCAGCTAAGCTATATAAGCATGAGAGTATTGTTCAGCGTTGCAAGGAGCTTTCCCTCAATTGCTATTTTACTTCTGAATTAATTCTCTGTTTTTGTGGAGTTTAGCATAAACATGTGCTGCTCACTCAAGTGAAAGGCCTCCCTGATTCATCGCCCATGTGTATTTGTTATCCTCTGCTGGGTAAGACACCCCTTAGTCAGACAGGTGAGTAGACTGGGAGCTGGGAAATCAAGCGAATGGGGAAGGTTCTGTGTAAATTTGTGCAGACCTGCTGCGACACTGTGAATATTGACTGGACAAATGCACGATGGAAGCAGAACTGTTACCTGCCCTGGGCAGGGCTCCTGTGCTGCTTCACTCCCGTTTCGTCCCTGCTGCCTGCAAAGAGGACAGAGGACACGAGCTGACACTGCTGCTCACCTGCTCCGTTAACACCAATCCCAAAGGCCATCAAGTTTCATCCAATTCATCCTTCAGGGCGGTAGTTGAGCCAGAGCCTATCCTGGCAAGCAGTAGATGCAAGTCAGGATCCACCCTGGACTGGATTCCAGCTCATCGCATAAAGCGACTAATGTAACAATTATTTCTAGCAGCATTTTCTAAAGTGCAAGTGTATAAAACGGCTGTATAGAGAAACAGTAAGTAGTGTGGTGTACCAAACTGTGGGACACATACAATGCAATAAGGTACACAGTGAAGCACAAATGTAGTGCAAAACAATGATCTGGCAGATTTACCTAAGAGGCGGCTCTGATAGTGATAGCAGTGATAGTGGGGTGGGGTTAGGATTCTTCAGCCTGAGCGCTTTCAGCTTTCCGCTGAGGAGGCCTGCACTTCCATCAGTCAGATGCGAGAGAGGCGCTACTCCTCTAATTGGTGCCAAGTATCCAGTTGTGGCGCATCGCAGCCCGCAGAGCATTAGATAACCTGGAGGTGGGCGTGTCTGCTTCCTCGACAGTGAGTGGGAATAGAACACAAAAAGGAACATTACTGGTAATCCTGGTACATGAGATGCAAGACTACAATACAATCGAGAGCTCTCACTGGATTTGCTCACTTGCTTTACACACATGTAAGAGGATCTCTCACTGCTAAAACTAATCCATCCATTAACGGGAAGCGGCATATTCCTGGGAGGAGTCATGTCAGAGCCCACCCTGGCTGAACAGGGCTCATGGCAAGACTCCCAGACATGGAGCCAGACTGGGCCTCCCCGCCTAAGGCTAATCTATGCCTGATCTGCACAAAAAAAGCCACTGGAAAAGCTCCCATGAGTTTGAAAGATCCATATGGATGAGCACCAGTCCTGCCAGCGCTCCAGTGATTCGGAGACAGACTGGTGTGAGCCTCCTGAATTTATTCTTACCAACTGCACTCAAGTCATCAGAAGGGAGAAATTCAGCACCCACTCCCCAGTCTTACAGTGCTGGCTCAATGGCAGCATTACTCACAGTGTCACCCCAGCCTAAACAAACAGTCATCGCCACAAGCCTTTCCCATCAGTGTCAGCATTCTCTTCTGTGAGAATATTTCACTCAAGTGTATGGAAAATGGCTACATTTCACAGCTACAATTGCTTTAAAACTGATGACTTAAAGTACTACAGAAGCGCTGTTTTGACATATTTACGTGGAATCAGTATTAAATTAGTCATCATGGAATGAAGTGCTCAATATCACATTTAACATCCATTTTTATTGTGACAGAGCAAATGTTTCCAGAGAAAATAAACTACTCCTCTCACAAAGGCAGTTTGTAGAGCCAAAACACAGCAAGAAGAAATTAAGACAGACCTTTCATACTGATAGCCTGACTTATTTTTTCATTTGAATGACAGTTAGGATATGATGTATTGAGAAAGTCACTCCCAGGCGGTGACAGCTGAACAAAACAGCGCTGTAAAATTTAACAAAGCAAAGTTTGAACATAGTAAACATTACGAAACAATGAAAGGAACATTAAGAAATAACACTTGGCAGTCTGTCAGAAAAAAACTAGCGGGCTAGATATTAAAAAAAGAGTTGAGTGTCTTACAGTGGAGCATTGAGACAAATATCGCATTTGCCAATGCATTCCAGTGGGATATTCAATAGGGGGGAAAAAAGATGAACATTTTCACCAGCAATTTTTCTTCTTGGAGCTCTGAAGTAGGACATGTGAGCAGTTACTAAAATCACGCACCATGCAAAATTAAAAGAAAAAATCCATAAATCACAATGCTGTGAATACATCTACTGCACCTGTTTTGACATCACTTAAATAATTCATAGCCGCTATTTAAATATTGGCTGATTCTGCAAGATTTCCTATAAAGACTTAAATTAGCTTTACAAAAACTACATTGTACAAGACAACACTGACTGAACAGCGAGCAACAGCTAGGCGGTGCACATCAATACAACTTGTTTACTTCAGAGAATGATTTTAAAGATTTGTCTTGCATAAGCAGCCTCCATTTAATCACTGCCCTGATCTGCCGTAGGGTTTACAATACCTTGATGTTAATCAAAGTGCTGCTTCAGAATGTGTAACTCCCTGTGTCACTTCCATTAAACAAACACTTGCACACCCATTGCAATAACAAAACAAACAAAAGACTGTCAACGTCTTAAAATAAATTGCAGACATTAATTCAATATTTAACAGGCAAGGCTTACAAACACACCTTTTTATTCATCCCAGCTGTGTGTTTCCAGCATTAAAATCTAAAGAACATGCCATATCAGTGTAAACATCATGTTACCGGCTCTTCCCTGGGATAAGCCATGAGACTTTGTCAAAGAAAATATATTTTAATAAATACTGCACATGATCATTTCACCCTCTGACAGAACAAGGCTTCATTATACCTTTCTTTCCTACAGTATGACCATGGCAGATATAGGAGTACAAGCTAATTTGTAGTCCCTAAAGAAGCATCACATAAACTGTCTAAATAAGTCTCCTTTTATAGACATATAGAAACATTTTCTTTTTGGGGCATTATTATTATTGTTGTTATTATTTGTGCAAGTCTGCCTGTAACTGTTATTTTCTACCCAAGTGCTATGGCAAAAATATAGAATTCCTTGCATATGTCCATGTGAAGGATTGTAAAAGGTATTACCATTGACTGACATTTGAAAGGAAAGGGAAGATAACCACACTGACGATTGGATTTAAACCTAAGACTTGTATAATAGGAGTTTCACTGTCAACCTGGAATGAGGCACTAAGAGAACGCTGAAAATAAATGTTTTTGGAGAATTCTGATGTTGCTGCCAACTGGAGGGAAGTACCAGAGGTTTTCTGTTAAAAAAGCAGTAAAAACTGACACTGTCTTCAGGTTGGGAGTGCATTTTTTTTGCAGAGATATCTGAAGGTCTTCATTGGTATTCTTATGCAGTGTTGTTGCCATTCTAGGGTCAAAGAGGAATGCCAACTATAAATCAAACATTAGCCTAATGCACTCAAACCACAGAAACACACTTTTGTTATTGCCCTGCCCATCAGCTCGGACTTTCCGGTTTCCAAAATCTGGCACCCTGAAAAATGGAAAATGGGAAAAAACCAAATATTTCAGTAACTGTGAGTTACTTAAGTAAATCAACACTTCCAAACATGATCTGTCAATGAAAACAGACCTGATGGAGTCTTAGGCAACTATGTATTGACAAATTACATCACAGCTTTGTCATGTCTATTAGCTGGTTCCTCTGGAAAAATAGAGCCACTTAGATGTAAACAGATGATATTTGGCATTTTCAGGTAGTATATCCATGGGCGAGATTTAGATATCATCAAACTTTATGCCTACATCCTCAAACTAAATTAAAAAGCCAGGAGGTAATGGCAGCTTTTCATTGGCCAGAAGCAAGAGGCATCTGGCCCCGAAAAATCCTCCATCCTAAGACCTGGATCTGGGGTTGTACTGTAATAGAAGGACAAAGGCTTAGATATGATCAGGCCTGTCTTCTCGCGATTCATTCATGTCTTCTTCAACCAAACGGCTGAAAAATGTCATCATGTCTTGGTTTCAGTAAAAATGACAGAAATGACATGTAATTCCCCAAATAATTTCAAAAGTACGCACCCGTCTTTGTACAGTTGTGCTGCATTTCTCGAGTCCTCCACACATTTTGTTCTGTTTTGATGATCAGAAAGTAAGGTCGCACATGAAAGTAATGTAATATTCACTGATGCATTAGACTTAAGCAGGGGACTCTTTCAGCTTTTCTTCACAGAAAAGAGACAGAGACAGAAGGCACCAACCTGGCAGTAACCCATGGGGACACATTTTGCCATCATGATTGGTCACATCCATTTGCTAGACCTGGACACACCTGTGTTCAAAGCATAGTGGCAGATTGATAGCAGAGCTAAGTACAACCTCGTCTGTATGAGCCTCACAGACTCCTGTGCTTTCATTAAAGCCTGGTGGCCACGACAGACCACTAACAGGGCGATCTCCAGTTTTTCACAGCAAAATCAACTCAGGATTCTTTGATTGAACCATAAGAGAAAAATGCAAGAATAAAATGAGAAGATAAATATTTTTGTTTCTCCAAAATGTAAAGCTTTATATCCTGTACTGTGTCAAACCTTAACCTGATAGTTGCTGCGTTTGCCAGAACCCAAGGAAAAAGTGTTTTTTTCTGGGGGGTGTACATGTTTTTCTTTCCAAAAATTGTACATTTTACTTCACAAAAAAAAAAACAACCAAAATGGCTTTTTGCCGAAACACCTTTGGTAAAACAGGGAAAGACACAGTTTAATTTCAGTTTAGTACGACTTTTCTGAGTGACACAGCGGCTGTAGAGGTCAGTCAAGTCCTCGTGTGAAAGGGGAGATCTTCAGGCTGTGTACTTCTCCTCCCCCTGCCGCTGCGTCTTGTGGTAGCGTGTGTAACTGCTATACAGCTCGTTCAGCACTTCCTTAACACCTGCTTGCAGGGCTGTGTTCAAGAACTTGAGGTCCTGCTCGATGCACAAGTCCAGGATCTTGTACACCCCCTCTGTCAGGTGGCTCTTTATCTTGGGGTGCAGCGTCACCTTGGGGAGGAGTCAGAGATCTGAGGTCAGTGTGGGGAAATGTCGCTGCCACGCAGCACAAACCCCAGTGCCTTCACACTAAGCATGGGCTTCTTTCGCCCTTCTAATGGCACTGGACAACGATCTGGGTTTCATTCTGGTGTGATAGAGGAGTTGTAAGCTCTTAAAAGGAGAAAAGAGTTGAAATCATTTACTTAAATGCTGGTGTAGGTTACGTCAGGACTATGGCACTGTAGTAAGAATCCCATTATCTCCAGTCAAGCTATAATATAATCCACATGTTCCAAGGATACCTCCAGGTGGGTAAATTAGAAATGAAAACACATGGGCTGTTATTTTTTCCATTTCCTTGCAAGCTATTCAACTAGCAAGTATGACATAGTCAAGTCAAGTCCAGTCAGTCCTGACAATTTCAGATATCTTTATTCTTCATATTTATTTTCATACCCACACCTCATTTGCACAGGTCTTGTGGTCTGCAATTCACTTTAAAATCATTATGTTTTCTGTCTCATGTTCAGATGTGTCAGCCTCAAGAACATACTACGTTTCGAGAGGCCGGCCTACTCAGTCATGTCCACTCAGGCCCACGGCAGCCATTCTGCACCAGCAGCTCAGGGGGAGAAGCGAAACTCAAAGTGGAATAAACAACAGTGCCTTGGGATCTTCAATAATCAAGCGGTCAGAACCCCAGATTAACCTCACACTAAATGAGGACACCTCCTACAGTCCCCAGAAAGGAAGTCCAGTTGGAAGACCGCCACCTACTGGTCTACACTGGTACTGACCAGGTCCAGCCTTGCTTGGCTTCTGAGCTCAGACCTGGAGTGGGGCGTGCAGGGCTCACCTTTTGCAGCTCGCTGACATACTGAGCAATGATGAAAGAGCAGAGGACGGTGAACTGCTCCGCGACAGTGGCGATGTGCGAGCACATCCTCTCCACCAGCTGCGCGCACTTCAGCAGGAGTTCAAACTCCGCCTCAGAACCTGTGGGGCAACAGGAGAACCGCGGTAAATCCAGCCTCAGTCGCAAAAGACATTTGCTTTTGATCCTCTGCTACATTTCATGCGAGAAGAAAAAGAAAACTCAAATATAGCGCTTGTCCAGTGCATCTTGGAGACCGGGGAGGGGAGTTCTGGGACTGCAATCCAGATCTTTTGTTGCTTTTCTGCCTTGAAAATAAGCAGATGTGTTTGTTTCCCTTTTTTGGAAAAAAGAAATGCTGGCATGGCAGCATAGCAAAATGATTTCCTAAATACTTTTTTGATTATGAAGTCTCCAGGACTGGAAATCAACTCAGCCAGGGGAACACAGAACAAAACTCAAGGAAGCCCAAAACATCTTTGCCTCCAATCTCAGGACGTTCATCTCAACTCTCCTGCTAAAAAAATTGAAAAACAAACTAACATATTCTGTTGGAGTCTAATTCTCATATTCCTAAATCGGTTGCAGTTTATTTCATTTAATCTACAGATAAGGATTCATAAAGTCTGGAACCTTCATTATGTTTCATTTAATTCCAGAACCATTAACTTTATACTGAAAAAAACTTTTCCTCAGAAAAGCGGGACATGTTTTAGAGGGATTGGAGGATCAATCGCTTATTTGTTGCGCATTTTGTTTTTGTACTTCTGGTCACAAATTGAAAACAATACAAAGTAATTCAAAAAATTAACTCAACAACAAAGAGGACTGAATTGCACAACGATACGTTTGACATATAAATAAAGACCTGGATGGAGACAGAGAACAGTGAACTAAAGAGGACATATACACTAACCCAGCCAAGACAGTAGTGAAAGGAAAGTGGTTGTCTGTTGATAGACAAGTATAAAAATGCCTCATCTGCCAAATGCTTTGTGAATTGGAAAATACACCAGGAAATCTTTGTGACACTGAAGCATCTTAATGTCGCATTTCTTTGCATCAAAGGGAAAACTACTACTACATTTACTTAAAAGCACCCTTTCTTCTTTAAAAGAGAATAAAATTCTTTATGGAAGTAGCTGACTTAAAAGGTTGAAATGACACAAGCTCATACTATTTCACAGGCAATTCTACATTTCCCGATTGGAATTTTTCTCATTATCCCTGCTTTTTCCCCCCGTTTGGGGAATCATTTGGGATTGATTATCCCTGGCACTGCAGTGCACACCCAGTCCTCTCCAAATGTCCATCCCTAAAGACGGGGAAGAAGTGGCGTCCTGATTGGACAGCTGCCGTGGGGGGAGGGAACAACAGCGGAACAGCAGCTAGGAGCTCCTCCTGGTTTCTGGAGCTCAACCCCAGCTCTGCCCTCTCCTTTCACAGCCACAGAGAATCGGCAGACAGCCCTGACGCACCAGCCCCGATACTTCTGCTCACTGGACAGAGAAAAAACTCTTCATCTGCGTTTCGTTGTGGTCACTTCTGCACACAACCCTGTGGGGCAAATCTTAGGAATGTACAAGAATTTGATCCTTTGTGTGGGACATTCATACTCGACAAGAAAAGAGAGCAGAAATGTTGATATTTCTGCATTTGGGCAACATGGTGCCATGGAGTTTAGCGCTGCCGTCTCACGGTTCTTGGTTCCTGGATTCAGTTCTGGAGTGGAGTCCTTCTGACTTTTCCACCCACCTTCCTAAGACACGCAGGCTGAGCCATCTGGTGTCTTTACGTGCTTTTCCAGTGTGTAATCCGGGGACATGTTTCGGGTTGCCAATGCACACCAGAAATAATTATTGATAAATGGACGGATGAATTTTTGCTCTTTCTCCTAAGCATAGAATTCACAAGCCACTCAATAATGAGTTGGTCTGCTTACACTCACTCCCAAAAACAAACAGCACTCTGCTCCTTCCCCTAATGCTACATTCACATACTTAATAAAGAAGCTGCCTGATCCCTGCTTCAGCAAAGTGACCAGTGTGTCCACCACCCATGCCTCATGGAGACAGGTGACCCCATAGGGAAGGGTACTCTACACAGGTCTGGGGGAATCCCAGGGTCAACACTGTTCTTGGCAGGCTACCAGCTGAGACTATAACATCAACCTGCAAAGCGCCAAATCTACACGACGGGTGAATCACAACAGTCCTTGTTTTTCACTGATAGTTTGAAATCCTCGCTGTCCACCCAATCTCCTGTTGTTCACGAACTCGATAACAAGGCTATGACCCCACATGTGTGGAAAGGAAAGCCCAGCTGTGAGGGCCCACTTGTGACATGCTGCACACTCCGCAGGGCCCGGCAGGGGAGTTACTGCCCACAGGAGGAGCCGTGTGTCTCTCAGTGACATCACTCCAGATAGCCCAGGAGTCACTGCTGCACAGACAGCAGAGATTGGAGGCAATCGGCCAGCTGTGCGCTGGAGCATGGGGGATCCCCTGCTTGAGCCAGCGAGCCTCGCAGTTCCACCCACAACCCCTCTAACAAGCCCTACCCTTCTCGTCCTCCGCTTTCTGCCGGCCCTCGTGCATGATGGAGGCGATCAGGCGGAAGAAACAGTTCAGGAAGCAAGGGGTCGCCTTCAGCACCACCTGGGCAGGATTCACAAAAAGAAAGAAACAGCAGTAGGGCAGCAGGACAATTCTGCATCCAGACCTCCCCCCCCCCCCCAACAAACATTAATGCCTGGGTTTATCTTAGAGTAATAGAAAAATAACTAAACCAAACACTAAGTCTGCAAGAAACTAGGTTTCGAATGAATTAACAGCTCCGGGTGCTATGTAGATACTTCCTTGCATCCCTCAATTGGCTATATGGGGAAAACCTTCTGCCGTAAATTCATCTCAACTTCAATTCTGAATCTCAATGTGAATGGGGAGAAAAACAGCTCAAGTGATCTGGCCTTGTCGGTAGAGCATGAGACTCTGTTCTCAGGGTAGTGGGTTTGTGTCCCACGTCGGGCGCCAGGTCCTCCATGTTGGAGGTACACGGCACAAGGCTAACAGCCCCGTCCCGTAAAAAAACTTATGTTACAGTAATGGCAACAGGATGTTGCTGCCCCGATTTGCTGGAAGGCAGAACGGGCAAACATCCATCCATAATCTTGTACTCTACAACCAGGTACATGCCTGTCTAACCCTAGATTACCAATAGCTGAACTGGGATGTCCCATGAGATGTTCTGTGACTTGTGGAAGAGTTTACCTAACAGATCCGTTAACGGTTTCCATCTAACATCCAAACTGCAGACCACCCATCTGGGATATTATCTCATCCCAAGGAAAAAAAACAAGTGCATACTCAGCCAATAACAGTATTTTAAAAATGGGCGGCTGTGCCACTTTTCTGACAGGACTGATTCATTGCTTTTTAAAATTCAAGTGAAGAGCCAAACATAGGAATAGTGACAACACAGAATTTAACGGTGTAAGACTTTAGCTTTAAATTGCTTCCTTTTTTAGTGCTTTTTAATTGGAACAGGATTAAAAGCCTCATTATTTCTAATTACGCTTCATTAATTTTTAGAATCCATGGCACATGCAGTTTAATATCTGTGTTTCTCTCTATCATCTACAGTGGGTGCATGAACACTCTTTGAAGCCATAGTTTTGTTCTGAGAGAACAACAGGCTTTGATATGATTTATTACTGATTCGTCTTAGTTTCATACAGATGTTTACATCTGTTTGAAGTTAGAGACATGGCCTTCAATGTGTTGCTTTGCAAAGGCTGTTGATTTTATTCAGTCCTCCATTTTTTCCCCACTAACACAAGTTTTTACTATAGTACTGATTTGGGTGTCTTTCTGATGTAATACATGTTACAAAGTGTTTTGACATACATATACATAACAACCATACTATAGTTTACGGGTTGCAAAATTAAACTTTATAAATGGATAATAAGCCAGCTGTTACATTTATAAATGGAATACGATACCTTCTGTAAATATATGGTCAGAATTAGGATTTGTTTTGAAAATGTAACTGGTCTACAGCATTGGTGGTTATTATCACATTTGTCACATTACTGATGCTGCAATAATATATCCAGTTTGTAAAATATTCAGATATGACATTTGCAACATTTTCTGTAAGATGATATCCAAATAGCTATACATAACTATGTATCGCTAACACGTCTTCTAACAAGGCCAGCTAAGGCACATGTGTACTGTATGATTAAAAGCTAAAATACACAGGAACAATGGATATTCTAGCCTTATCAGAAATGATACTGCAAAATAGATGGGATAAAAATGTGTCAAGAACTTATGTAAGGCTTTGTTCCTTGAAGCTGATCACAGAATCCCAGTATAGATCTGCACCTTGTTCCTTGAAGAATCTCTAAGAATCATCTTGAAAACTATGGCTGTTGTTATTGTATAAAGAAACACCTTTCATTGTCCTTCATACATGCAATACAAATGCAATACAGTGCTAATAGAGGGCTGTGGGGTGGTACTGTGGCTCAGGATCGCGCCTGTGGCTGGAAGGTTGCCGGTTCATATCCCGTGGCTGGCAGAGGAATCCTACTCCGTTGGGCCCCTGAGCAAGGCCCTTAACCCCAACTGCTCCAGGGGCGCCGTATAAATGGCTGACCCTGCGCTCTGACCCCCAGCTTCTCTCCCTGTCTGTGTCTCATGGAGAGCAAGCTGGGGTATGTGAAAAGACAAATTCCCATTACAAGAAATGGTATATGGCTAATAAAGTGATTACATCTTACATCTCTTATTTTTAGAGGAAGCAAGCAAAGTAAAGTCCCAGAAGGGAAAAGGTGCCCGGACACAGAGGAGAAAATTCTCACCTGTGGGTGACACTGTATAACAGTGAAGAGAACCTCATGAATGGCCAGGAACACAGCGTAGTAGTCCTGCACCGTGAGGTGGTCAAGCGGCACGGACTGCAGGGCACCGAACACAACCGTCACGTGATGGGGGTTGGTGATGAGCCCCTCCCCTTGGCGAAGCAGAGCCCTGACTGCCTCCAGGGCAGGGACAGCCAGCCCAGGGGTGAGTGCCACCTCCTTACCGGCCTCCTTCAGCACAGACTGAGAACCAGGGAAGACAGAAAAACAACTGAGCGGCGCAGTGAGAGCAAACTTCAGCCGCATTCTTTGTGGAAGAGGAGCATCAGAACATAAGAGAGGTGACGAATGAGAGGAGGCCAGACGGTCTATCTCTCCAGATCTCATCCAGGTGTTTCCTGAAGGAGGCCAGGGTATCGGCTTCAACTGCACGGGCAGCTTAATCCAAATACCCACAATCCCTTGGGTAAACAAGTGCCTCCTACTCTCTGGTTTAAATGTGCAACCACGCATTTCCACTTGTGTCCTCTGGTTCGTGTTTCACCGCTCATTCTGAAGAAGTCCTCTGGGTTGACTCTGTTAGTCCCTTTGAGGATTCTGAAAACTTGAATCAGAACCCCTTGTAGTCTTCTCAAGACTAAAAAGGTTTAGTTCCTTTAGCCTGTCAGTGGAGGATAATTTCCCTTAAACCCTGGAATGTATCTGGTTGCTCTTCAATGGACAAGTAATCCAGAGAAATCAATTTGGAAAGATTGGGGACTCTATTTAAAACGAGCTCCAAAGAGCATTATGCTCTTATATATAAAGAGGCCGTTTCACCTTCCGGTCCCACCTCTCCCATCACCTCAGTGTCATCAGAAACCAAACCTCTTTGTGATCCCAAACATGGATCAGAAGTGACACCGAGGGCCTATTGCAAATGACTCTGAAACAGCAGTTACTGTAGCACAGGAAACTCTTTTGGATAGAAGTGTCTGCTGAATGACTAATTATACAATTTACTAGACACAGAAAACATGGACAGAAGTCTGAGGAATGTAGTAAGAACATGGCTCGTTTTGTATAGATGCCCCTCTCTCTCCAAACGGGTTTCTCTTGCCAATTAAATGTTACTTTCCATAATTCAAATATCCCCCACAAGCTGTCAATAATGAGAAAACAGTGAATGGAGCTGTAAGAGAGCAGCACTGTTGAGAATGAACCCAAACTGGCAGGGCTCAACATCAACAGCTCTTCATAGACCAAAGGGACCTCATGGAAGTCAGGGGCAAAGCAGAGAGAGAGCTGGAACGCAATTAGGTTTTGTTGACGACAGATAAGGTGTTTCTAATTTCAGAGCTCTTTATATTCTAGCCTCAAGGCTCTCATTTGCAAAGAAAACATGTTGCTTTGCAACGTTTATGCAACAGTGAAACGGATCCAAAGTAAACACACGAAGGGGTAGAAAACATATCCAGAAAGCGTGTGCGGGGAAACAGCAGATGCTGCTTTTAAAATTGAAGGCATTTTTTGCACACAAACGCCACGACTTCAAACCCTGTCAGTACGCCCCCCAAATCAGTAACAAATGATTCAAGGTAGGCCTGGAGGAATCTGTGCGCTCAGAATGTGCAATGTTCCTGCTAACAAAGCATTCTGAATTAGATATTATTTAGATAGGAAGACTTTGTTTAAAGTGGTGAAAGTTGTAATTCTTTCTTCCCATAAAAACTGCTATTCCCTCCAGGGTGTCTGAAGAACCACAATGACAGCAGCACTGGTAGTATGGAAGAGGGCTACAAGGCACAAGCTGAAATACAACACTAAAACACTAAAATATGACCTGCTGTAATAAACATGTCCCTCAAGTGCTTTCATGTCTTTTCCAGAGGAAAGCCATCAAAACCACTGACATAGGTTTCTTCTTTAAAACAGACATGGTCTGTCTTTGAGCCAACAAAAGACATCCTTTGTTTTTAAACAAAAGCTTTCTCTGGAAAGCACATTTAAACAACCTGAAAATACCCAAAGCAAAAAACGCTTTGACAAAAGTTGGTCCTAAACTACATTTGCATACACGGTACTACATCCAGAACGTTTTTTTCTAAGTAAAGGTTTACAATGCTTTTTTATCCCAGAATAAATTTTAGTTAAAATGCCCAGACTGTATTTAACTGACAAATGCTTTCATTTTACTGTTAAATTCCATCCAACAAGTGCAAATTTACAAGCGGGCCTACGGAACAGTATACAAAGTCTCCTGAAGAAATTTCCCAAATACCCAAAGCGATCTCTGAAATATCCCACTCAATGCTTTTCTGTTAAATCTTTTTTCAAACAACTGGCTGTATAAATGCATTTATATCAAAAGCATCTCTCACAGCTGGTTAGGGTTTCCCCACTGCAACACAGTCAAAAGCAAAACTATTTACTTGCAGTTTTTACATCACACATACCCTTACCCAGTGTGAAGAACAGCACAAATTAACACTCTGGTACTCTGGGCTATTAATACTTAATAATAAGCATGCACCGCTTGCCCAAAGAAACTCATACGCTTCATCCCAGCCCTCTCAGTCCTTTCAGTAGCACAGACACTTTTTTGCTGACAAGAGTAACCCAAACTTTTCCCCCCAGTTTCAGAGAAGCTCAAACTGCAGAACCAGGTTGGGGCAGTGTGAGAGCGAAACTTTCACCTGTCACTTTTGGGGTCTCTCTGTCCACCTCTGCTACAGGTGTGTTTGCCATTTTGGCCTGCGGGATAGGGCACAATCACTAGCATGGACCGGAGATGGACAGCGTGGACCACTGTCTGAAGATATGGGTGCTTGGGGCTTCAACAGAGCAGGACAGCAGCTCTGGTGATTTCTACAAAACACAGCTCTGTCTGACTGCAAATCCTGGAGCTGCCTGCACCCCACAGTCTTAGACACACAGGCAGGCAGGCGGTTTGGGTTCTTTTCTTTCACTTAGCGCAGTATTGCTCACTAGGTCGGAGGTGCAATCAGGCCCCCTTCTTTGTAAAAGGCTAGGGGGTTTGCGAGAACTCCCATAACACAGTCGTGCATCCAGAGGCTTCATGCATTTTATGCACTGCTTCACACTTCAAACACGCAAAATGTGTGGAGTTCCGAGCTATTTATAGGGAGATGATTCACCACTGGCTCTTCCGTCATGAAAGTAGCTTTCAAATTCAAAATAAGCAAGAGGCAGTTCAAGTTCTGAGCAGAAACACAATATTAACACTGATGATGGTGATAATGATCATCGGATGTAAGTCAGTATAAGAGATACTACTTGGATCATACCTGCTGTTCGGCTGAAGAAATTAAGTAGCACGGACAAATGACCAACAAAATACTGACCACTAGGGTACTGATGATCTGGGGTGCCAGGAACCAGAAGACCTTAGCGCAGTCTTCCTCCATGGGGCAGCTCACGAGTAATTTGGTTAACATCACTGATGAAAAGACTTCCTGAAAAAGACACAGCAAGCTTCAGTAAGTGGTCGCAGACGCCGGCCTCCAAAGGTTTTAAGAAGGAATTTCAGGAATCTAAAAACCACTACTGCACTTCTACTGCATCATAATTCTAATTTACAGGTACTTCAAAGGGATTTACTGCACATGTACAAAAGACTGGACTGTTCTGAAGTGCTATACAGTATACACATGGAAAAAAGGGTGTTAGGTGTTGGCTCCTGATATTACAGATGGATTTTTAAACTTGATAACAACCTATTTTAATCATAGTTATATTAAATGCAACATCAATTTCAGTGAAAGCAAAGACGGGGTTTGCCTAAAAATGCACACATTTTTAAAAGTTACTTCTCAGTCTTAGATGAACCTGGCAGGAATGACTCTAAGTAATATTATTAAAAGCCTTTTACAATTAAGGGTGTAATAGTACTCATAAATCACACTGTGACACATTCTGTGATATAGCGCTGGCAATACAATATGCATTTCAGCAGGGTCACTGCGTGGCAAATCAGGGCACCTCAAGCACAGCACCGTCTCAGAGTTTAATGAAACTTATTTCCTACGGTATATTTTAATGGAAAACATCAAATCTGAACATTGCAACTCCACTGAACCAGCTGTCAGGAAATTAGTCTCTGTTGTAGGCTCTGAGCCGATGATCTGACATTCAGTTCTCTGCACCTCAAAACTGGTTTGTGATATTGACACAGCTTATATTAATGTAAGTAAGCAAGAATAATTTATTCTATTTAACACTTCAACAGTGATTACACTTTAAAATAATGGCCTTGAGCTTAGACATGGATCTCTAAGAAGCTCTGAATTTCTTGTTTAAATTGAAATTGTACATTTACAGCACGTACATATATGTACAAAATCAAACAAAATATGAAATTGAAGAGAAAATGTGTTAAATCAATTTTGGAATGAAAGCCTTATTCAGATCAAACGTTGCTTAACAGTTTATCTCACCTACATAACCATTCTTTGCATGATTTGTATTATACAGGGTCCTGCCATGTTAAAAAGGAACAGCTTTAGTATCTACAACAGCTGTGACAAAACACCCGGCACAAAAAGGCAGAGCCACCAACACGTCAGTATCTGGCATCGTGACCTTTTGAATAAGACAGATCCTTATACAACCAGGAAGCAGGCACGCTCCCAGACGAACCGGGCTGCGCAGAGGGAGAACAGGGTGAGAGAATATTCCGTGAAGATGCCGGGCGCTGCAGTAGACAACGTCGACCGCGACTCACCCCAGTGCGGCCACTCCGAAGCCATGAAGCCCCCATTCCGTCTCTCAGCGCAAGCAGGGTGAAGCGGAACTGCTCCTGGGTGCTGTTGGACACCAGCTGCTCCAGAAGCTCCTGCAGGGGGGTTTCTAGTTTCCTGACCTCAGCCAGTGAAAGCCAGGGAGCTAAACAACAGTGAAAGACGATGTCATATCCATTCAATCCCATTCTAGAGAGGGACTGGCTAAGTCAGTTACTGCACGATGACTATTATATGACATATCATTCATAGAATACAAGATTTATTTTAATGTTAACCTTTATAGTGAACAGGTATTGCAATGTAATAATCGGGGCCAGTAACTACACAATTTATTGAACTGATGCAGAATCACATGTTTCAGACTGAATGTGCATGGATGCTGTTAATAATACTTCTGCATATGCTACATTAGCAGAAAACTGGTGAACAAGTCACAGGCGTGCTCATGACCATGTTATCGAGATAATCCAGTCCTCCTGGATCACACCACAGAGGTGAAGCATTAGTAAGACTTCTTTCTCGGATTAACATAATCTTGAGCCATTTCAAATGCTTTCTGAAGCAGCTTCTTTTGCCAAACTGACTGTCACCAAGGCACGAAGCAGTTTAATTTTTGATTCTTCAAATTCATCATCTTTTTGCAATCGCGTAGATAAACATGCCATGCTTAATATTTTGACCAATGTAAATAATTATTTTCCCCATCACAGTTAAAGGCCTCTCTTTAGAGGAGGGATGAGGAACTCCAATCCTCAAGGTCACGCAGGATCCTGCAGTTTTCATTCCAGCTCAGATATAAATATTCTTTCTTTCTAAGCTTGTACTCAGGAAGACTGCAGCTTGCAGGACTGGAGTTGCCTATCCCTGCTTTAGAGCTCCGGGTTAGGGTCATTACCTGTGAGCAGGTTTTTTACGTTTTGCACAGTGGACATGTAAAAGCTGTCTAATCCTGGCTCCTTGGTTCTCTCTGCTGCTGGACAGAAGGCCGTGAGGAACCGGAGTGCTGAGTTGAGGAAGTCCAGGGGCCGAGGAGAGGAAGACAGCTCCCGCAGGATCTGCTGGGCAAAGCCCCAGTAAAGTCCCGAATAGCGCAGACACTGCCTCTCCTGGCACTCTCCCTCTGGGGACTCTGACGAGCCACGGGCCAGCTCCGCCTCCAGGAGGACTGTCACCATGGAGACGGAGAAGGACTGCCCCAGCATGCTGCAGGACTGGCTCTTCAGGCAGGTCTGGATCACAGGTCCCAGAGTGTCCGTCACCCTCTCCAGAAGGCCCGACAGGGTTTCTTCCAGTTGCTTGCTCTTGTCAAGATGTGAAATCATGACCTTGCACAGAGTGGCCAGGGACGCCAACAGAAGCTGGACACAGCCAGGCCTATGAGCTCCCACCTGCTGTTTGGACAAAATAGCGGATGCCACGTCACCGCCGATGACAACAGACACAAACTTTTCCAGATTAAGACGGACACTCTTCCTTCTCTCTATTATCACCTCAATGAAGCACTGAAGGAAGTTCTGAATTATGTGAAGGAAGGCCAGCCAGGCCGAATTCTCCACAGCTCCAAACAAGTGCTTCTTGCTCAATGAAAACAGGAAGACCATCACTGCTTCTAAAAAGTCACTGCCATGCACCACTCTTAGGATAGACCCCATATTTCTTCCAGACTGCATAGAGGCCAGGAGAAGATAGACTTCCTGCAGCAACCCTACAGTTTTTGCACTCTCAGTGTCACACCTGGCGTAGATGTTCGTAGCCATGAAGAACAAAAGTAGAGCAAACTCTGTGTGGTCTTCAGGAGACAGACCATCAGGGTTCAGGGTTCTGGCAACTTGAAGCAATTCCAGAAGGCTTTCTAGCTGTGATTCCGACAAAACGATCGGGTCACAAGTCTTGGAGGAGCGCAGGATCTCTTGGGCTGCAGTCTCTAGTCTTGTCCAAGCAGCAGCAGGATCACGAGTGTGGCTGCTCGCTTCCAAGACAGTACCTCCTTTCTCATCTCCAGCCACAGAACTGTCCAATGTAGCTAATAGCTGGAGGCCTTCATTCTGGGGACCTTGTTCGGAAGCACAGAGGATTCTGATGATCTTTCGGGACACACACCTGACAAAAGCTGAATACACAGATGGAAACTCAACAAGTATCATGCTGTTAAGCAAGTGCTTGGAAATGAGAGAAACTGAGAGGCAGGTTCCTTGTTCTTCTTCGCCACCTGACGCATCCCTGTGAAGGACAGAGCTCAGAAGAGCATTAGCTAGGTGAGAAAGATCTTCATCCGAAAGGTATGGAGTAATCAAAGCTAAGTTTGAAGTAACAAGAAACCAATGAGCCGCGGGATATGTGTTGGCATCTACACTGCTGATCTGAGTGTCCCACAGCTTGGAGTCCAGTTGGGTTAGGGAGCCGTTCCCTGAACGCAAAATAAACTCAGCAGACTTACAAAGCGAGTCCTGGATGTGGGGATCCGGTGCAAGATCCATCCTCAGGGAAAGTTTTTTAATTTTCTGGAGAGCCAGGAGCTCCAGCAGCAGCTGACTGACAGGACTACAGTCATGATCCTTTGGCGCAAGCGCGTCCCAGCCCTCTGCTGACATACCAGGTAGAAGGGCTGTGCCCTCATCCGTGACAAGGCTGTCGGATGGGTCAGCTGGGGAGACATACTTGCTACAGTGAAGCTGAAAGAGGGTGTCCACCTCCACCCAGGTGTAACTGAGAAGCAGAGCAGCTTCCCTCACCTTTTCAATCCACAGAGCTCCTGGCAAGTGTTCCTGGAGAAGTCGAATCAAAGGTCTTAAAATCCCAAGCATTTCACCCAGAAGACTTTGTGAGCGCTTCACAATGGGAGCTGGGGTACTATTATCCAGGCACTTCACATTGAAGAGCACGAAATGCAGAACCAAGCTCAGTGAGAACAGTTTCAAGGCCATGTCATCCTTCCCCTGCAGGTCGGGGAGCAGGTAAGTATGGCACTTCTCAAGAATCATGCTACAGATCTCCAAGCTCTGGCCAGGAGAAACGTCCAAGAGACACTTGCTAAGGTTCCCACAGACGCCAGCAGACAAGACTGGCGGCCTCAGATCATCAGCAGCTGGGCGGCAGATTATGACCAGGACCTCATCAAAGAGCCTGGGAAGCTGACGCAGTTTCGCATAGACCTGAAGCAAATCACCAAGCAAAGCTTCTCGGGCTTTTTGTACACGTGGCTCATTGCAGTCAGCATCGATCCAGGCTGAGGACACAAGTTCATCGAGATCGGGCTCCACTATCAAGTGGTTGAGCAACAGGAGAGCCTTCAGGCACCTGTACCAGGCTGGAATTGTGGGCTGCACATTGTTGAACAAAAACTGGGCCACTTTTCTGTAGAACAGAAACTGGGCCTCACTGTGGTGGATTCGGTCCGCAGCTACGTTATACAGGTCTGCACTCAAGCTCAAATTCAGGAGGTTCTCCAAAGAAAGCAAAGCAACATTCCAGTTCCCAGCACTGGACAGCTCCTCCACTGACCTTTCTTCAAAAAGGCCCAAAGCAGCAACAAAGCGTGCAAGCAAGTGGAAGCCGACCAGCTGGTTCTGTCCTCCTTTGCAGAAGGCATCCAAGGAAAACTTGAAGAGCAAAGGAAGCGAATTCGCTCGAACGATAAAACCCACAGTGGGATCACAAAATTCAGCATCACCGAGCTTCTCGATTATCATGCGAACCGGGGACAGCAAGCCCTTCGAGACGGCCGCCTTCTTGGCTCCGGCCGCTTCCTTTCCTCGAAGAAGTTCCTCCGAGTACGACGGGAGGTGATCCGGCAGAAAAAGAGCAGACTGCAGCACCGCCTCCAGTTTGCCCCGGGTGTCCCTGCCCAGGTGCTGGCGGACGGCGATGCCGTCCTCGGCCGTCCCCGTCCTGGACATCAGGAGGTGCCTCAGGAAGAGGAAGGGTGGGAGGAGGTGGCTCGTGACCTGGGCAAACACACGGTTCGCGTTGCCCTGCTGCTTCTGCACCACCAGGTAGCTGCTCAAGGCCACGAGCAGAACTTCAAAGACCCGAAGTCTCAGTGGCTCCTCAGATGCCCGTGATGGCAACAGGGAACAGGCGAGCGCACAGAGGCGACCGAGCAGCTCGATCATCAGCTCGTATTTGGCGGTGTAAGTGACTGACAGCGCAGCGGAAGACAGAATGCTCTGGCAGCAGCTCAGCACCGGGGAGACATTCAAAGGTGACGTCGACCCTGCAGATTCCGAAATCCTCTCATTTATGACCTACAACGAGTACAAAGGACACAAGGTGCTCAATGAACCAAAAAACTGGCCTCATGCATTTTTGGCAGAGCGATTCTGATACACATTTTAAACATCTGTCCTATGTTATATTCATAGACACGAGCTCTGTTTTATTAATAAAAGTGGCATTCAGATGCAAATCATGCAGTCATGGCCATTAGGAGCTGTGCAAAGATCTGGCACTTACTGGTTTATGGATTACTGGCCTATGCAACATTACAAATTCATTATTTGTCTGAATAGGTTTATATAAAGCTTCCACTGCCTACCGGGCAAGATATTTCACACCAGAAAAAAAAATCGTTGGAGTGATCCACTTACCTGCGCCATCGCAAAACGTAAGCTGATGGTTTTGCCTTTGTTGAGCAGACCCTGAAGCTTCTTGCTGTGCAGAATGTCATCCAGGTAGGCCCACAAACCGTCCACTAAGTGTTGCTGCAATTCAAACTTCTTGCCATAGTAGCCAATCAAAGCATGGCTCACCCAATCGAGTAATACCTAACAATCAATGAAGAAAAAGTAGATGTACATTAGAGGGGAGCTGCGCCGCTATTTTTATATTTTGGGGTTAGGAAGAATCAGAACTGATGAGTGCATTTCAAACCACAGTAAATGTACAATGTACACTGTAATTTGTAAAACCTCCGATTCACATCACAAAATAGACTATATTTCCAGGTATGCACAGTGCCATATTCTGAAATTCAGAATGAACCAATAAAACTTCCAGTCAGGTGAAGTGGCCCTATTACACTCTAAACAAGCAGTGTTTACAGCTCTTATAATCCAATACAAATAATGCTCTGGATTTTGAGATGGTTTTGCAGCCTAATACTACTAACTTGTTAACTCTGCTTGCAGGTCACATTGGAACATTCCTGTGATGAAATGTCTACTGCACAACCTGTACTTATTCACTCCTCATTACAGTACATTAGTCATTACAGTGACTAGTGAGCAGGAAGAGTCGCCTCACGTCACAATTTTCGTAAACTCTCTCTCTCGCCTGTGGTGAGACCAACAGTTTGCGACAACATGGCAACTATACAGTACCTTCCCAAAGTCCACAATTTTGTGCTAAATTCAAAATCTATCAACTATTTTTTTTCAGCTCTTTTATGCTTGGACAGATTTAACATTTATCTCATGTTGAGCGTTGACTCTGTGGCTAAGGATCTGCGCCTGTGGCTGGAAGGCTGCCGGTTCAAATCCCGTGGCCGGCAGAGGAATCCTACTCCGCTGGGCCCCTGAGCAAGGCCCTCAACCCCAACTGCTCCAGGGGCGCCATGTAAATGGCTGACCCTGCGCTCTGAGCCCCAGCTTCTCTCCCTGTCTGTGTGTCTCATGGAGAGCAAGCTGGGGTATGCTAAAAGACAAATTCCCAATGCAAGAAATTGTATAGGGCCAATAAAGTGAACTTATCTTATCAAGTTTATATGCTTAGTAGTAATTTATTTAGAACAAACAAATTCAGTGAAAACCCTTTTTAAAACACTTCACAAAAGCTCTGTGATATGCATGTGCCGTTTCACAGACAGAGAAGTGTCCCCACAGTCTTTCCTCAATAGCTGCAGTGCAGACCTCACTGCTCTGGCCAGCACTGGAGAGCATACAAGGAGACAAACATTTAAGTATTAATGGAACAGGATCAACTTGGAATGGAAGGATTAACTTCTTAGTGGAAAGAAAAAGAAAAACTGACCTATTTTAGTCTATTTTCTTCATCTTCTTCTCAGCTTTGAATTAATCTCTTCTTAACAGCTAACTGCACTGCTCCAGACTCTGCACCTTTTGCATGGACTACCATGTTTTTTTTCTCACTGCTACATATTTATTGCTCTACATAGCTTATTTATTGTTCTGGTTGTTGTTATTTATTATGCTTGTAATGTACTGACTACATTGTGCGGAGTCGCCTATTGCACTGTGTATGTCCTGAGAGATCAGTGCGATTAACAATTCCAATGTACATGTGCATATGGCAATAAACACCTCTTCTACTCTGCTCCTGCAGCTGACACAGCTGGTCCCTATAACCATTAATGCTGTGACTCTCCAGTGTGACCACAGACCTCGAGTGCAGTACAAGAGAGACGTTGTTGGGACTAGCTCACTGTGAGTGCGCCCAGCGAGACCTTGCCTGTTCTTTGTTGGGTAGGAAGCACTGCGGGGAGACCCAGGCGAAGCGGGCTAACTTCAGCTTGTCCTCCCAGGGGGTCCGGGGGCTTCTCAGCTTCAGGTGAACACCAGAGTAGATCGCAGCCATGGCGACGACCCCGAGCCGGGACAGGAAACCTCCGGCAACACTGGACACTACAGCACAACCGACCCCTTGTGAGAGAAGGGGCCAGAAGCAAGGCATACTCAAGATCTCTTCCCAAAGGCCTGACGCCTCACTTTTCAAATAATATATAATAAGTTACATTAAATTAAATGTCTGTACAGCTTATCCTCACTCTCTATTTTTCACAGTTCCTCATTCTATTATCATTCTGATATCGATCCTACAATGATGAAAGCATCTATTAGTCTAGGAGATTGTTGCACTGTAAGCATCTATAAATATTTTAATAAGTATTAATAGTATTGCTAGGAAAATCGAGGCAGGACCGTACTTTGAAATACCGGCAATTATTGAACTAAAGAATGCATTTCTATATTATGTCACTAGGGGGAGAAGAAGACACATCATTTCTCACATTTTGCTGATCGGGTTTATTCATCTTATAAAAGTACATTAATTGTCCAATGATGTTGTCTGGGTTCAAAACATTAAAAATGAATTTTAATTATTTTATCACAAAAGTCATACCGTTTCACTAAAGGCGCTGCTGTTTTTCACATGGTCCTATTTCGCTCCCTTCTCCAGTGGTCATTCGTCTCCAGGAACAGACTCCCGAGTACCAGATCTGATGAAGGACAGTGAGAATTTCAGCCGAGAACCGCTGGTCGTTACAGAATAAGGACCTAACTGATTTCCGCGGGCACTTACGATCACCTTTCTTTCATGTCACTGCAATACTGAAAGGCTGACGGTATATTGACAGGACTGGATATTGAGCGCCAACAAATTTCCAAGTGCAATTCTTGAACAGTTTATAAGTCAAAAGGAAAAAGTAAAGGTTTATTCCATTCTTCAGGAGTGGCTCCACTGCCGAAACGTTGTTTATTTTCTTTTCAGCAGGGAATAAACCTTTACTTGTTCGTTGCAGCCAACGCATGCTGACGCAGCTCCCTACTTGAATGTTATAAATCAGCCTATTCATTAATTCCATGCCGTTTATTTCAAATAAAAACTGCTAATGGATACATGCAGAGTTTAGCACAGCAGCGTCCATGAAAAACATCTTAGTTTTTCATCGGTAATAAAACAATATGGAGACCCTATTACACATTCATAACTATAAACTAGTATAATAAATAAGAATAATTTCAGTAGATACCGATTACCTGTGTACAAATATATGACCATTTAATGTATTTTTACACATAAAACAGAAACTGTAGTTTACAGATCGTCAAAACACAGCAATCTAACGACTCGAAAGAACGATTGACATTTCATCTATAAACATTGCGTTTAAAAACAAAATAAATGTTAAAACTTATACATAAAAGACATTTTTCTCGTACTCGGTTGCTGATTGCCTTCGCACGTGTTAAACCAGCCTGTTGCTTGAAAATTGACCTTTCACGTCTTGCCCTTCAACCCCAGACAAAACTAATCGACCGCGGGCGCTGATTGGCTAATCCGAGAGAAGAGGTCATATAATGGAGTCGGAGTGATGGAGTTGGCGATGAAGTCGGAGAGACGAATCGCAAAAAGCAACGTTTTTGGTTTGATCCTGCTTGTGTGTTGAACCCGATCTCACAGAGGAAGTAGACAGAACGATATGCAGTAAGTGGGGGAGGCCCAGAAATGTTCATTCGCGAGATTTAGGAAGAGGTACTGAAGGAAAAGCTCAATGATGGATAGAGCGGCAAACAGCTCAAGATAGGCCTAGGGAGACATCAATTGAAAACGCCGGCGGCTTGGAATATGCTGAGAGTGTGTCCCTTCCACAGGCAATCTGCGTGAAGTGTTTTCATGCTTTGCAAAATTCTGACTATATTTAGGAAGGGGGTCATGTAGACTTTAGTTTGGAGATTGAGCAACAGTACAACGTAATACTAGTTGTGGAGGCTGATCGGACATACAAGTGTATAGATGCCCCCGCCCATTTCCCATTAGACTCCAAGGGGCAACTACAGTACCGCTAATGAATTAACATACCTATCTGCACTTCCATTCGGTGGTTAAAGTCGATTATTCCACAGCACGTCACACCGAGTGCGCACTCAGTGGTCCTTTCCGCGTGTTGTTGTTAAAGCGTCTTGTCTAAACGACAAGTAAGTCATTGATGGTGTGCATAACTTCTGTTCCTGTTCATTTCATCTGGGATATCCGATGTTTTGTGAATTACGCCTTTGAATCAATCTGCTTGTTTTTGTTTTGCTGTTCGGTTATTGAAACGTAAACGTTTATTAGCTGTAGTGTACTATTTATTAACTATACTTTACTTGTTGGATTGTTTTCTGTGAAAGTTACTTCATCAA